GGTACCGATGCGATGGCACCTAACAACAACAACAAATCTTTACTAGGTAGTAAATAATACTGGCTAGGTATGTTGCAACTGCTGATCTTAGAGTTACCAGCTGAGTGCTTAAACACTGCAGTAACTTGGTTCCTATAAACTAGCACCTGGCCAGGCTCTCTTCAAGGTGTATTACCTGCATGAGAATATTCAATCCTCCCAAAAATCTTTGAAGTGAGTTTAGATGAAGAAGCTGAGACAGATAGAGGTCAGATTGCCAGTAAATTATAGAGTTCAAATATGAATCCAAGAAGTCTGTCTCCAGACTCTTAACGACAAACAACACTCTTTATCTTCCATCTCTGGTTTATGAAAAAAAAAATTCCACCTCATGGTAAACTTGTTTTATCTGTGTCCTTCCACCAATCCCCACTTGCTGTGGCATCAGCTCTGACTCACGGTGACACCATGTTTGTCAAGGTAGAACTGGTCCATAGGGATTCCAGTATCTGGTTCTTCACGAATGAATGGCCAGGCCTTTTTTCAAAGGTACCTCTGAGTGAATCAGACTGTTAGTGGTGGTTGTTAAGTGCCACTGAGTCAGTTCTGCTCAGTATATAGGATTTCTGAGGATCCAGTGGTAGGTCAGTGCTCATCCTATAATGCTACACCAGGACCCCAGTCTTTGCCTTAGCAGCTAAGACAGTTAGCCATTTGCACCACTCAAGGACTTCTCTCCGGCCCTCCCCCATTCCTACCCCCACCTTATCATCTGCTTGTTTGTTTCTCTTCTTGAAGCCACAGCAGAGCTAGGGCCAGAAGAATGTTCGTGGCCACTGGAATCTCAGAGTGGTTCCTCAAAGCTGTCAAGTGACAATTCTGTCTTAAACTTCCTAAAGAAGATGTAACAGAGCTTGGGGAGTAGATGGGTATGAAAGAGCGCCCTCTCAGTTTTCCTAAGCATTTCCTGCCCAGCTCTGTCTGCATGGCTCTGTCTGCATTTCCTGCCACAACCTGTCTGCATGGCTCTGCTATACCCAGAGACCCCACAGCCCCTGGGCTGCTCTGTCACTGCTCACCAACATTGTTGTCTTGTTGTTTATGTGACGGAGCAGCTACATGGCAAGTGGCATCTGTCTTGTTTATCTCTGGCCCTCTTGTGCCTGCTTAGTGTCTGATATCTTGTACGGGTTCAGTAGGAAGCTTGAATGAGTAAAATGTCCTTTATTCCACCCATCCTTAAACTGCTACTTAAACCCCAACTCTTCCACAGGCCTGTCTGTAATCCACTCCAGCTGGCATTACTTGTTTTCTCCCTCACCCTCCCATAGTGCTTGGCGATTCACATCTGGTACTCTCTTCAGATTGCCATGGTGCCTTCGTTTCAGTGACCATCTTCCTGACTCTCCTAAAACATTTCCACAGAACCCGTAGCACAGAAAGTCTTCAAGTAATAATTTACTGACCTTAAAAAAAGCACTCCTGCGATAGCTTGACTAAAATGTGAAAAAGTGTCCGTGTCCACTCACAATCTTAAAAAAGAACCTAATTTGGCAACACAAAATACTATGCTATAGAAATACCTTTTTCAGAGCATCGTCTGTTAACAAGCAAGAGAAGGCTTGTGAATGTGCTTTGCAAACTGTGCACCTATGTAACTGTTAGTGACGTTGTAGTTCAAACCGACCTTTCAGTCCAGTGCCATACCAGGACTCCAATGTTGGAAAGTGCCATCACGTCGGTTCCAATTCATAAGAGACCCGGTATAGGGTTTCTGAGGAGCAGCTGGTGACCTTGAACTGACAACCTGGAGGTTCAAACTGGCCTTACAGTCCAATGCATAACCCACAGCGCCACACCAGGACTCCAGAATTTGGGCTTTATTACTTAGATACTGGATTGTGCAATTTGCACAGAATACAGTGGGAATGGGGCTAAGCCCTAGTGGATTAGATTCAAGGATGACTTCCTCTCAAAGTCTGAAACTTACCTCATGGACCCATTGGCTTGTTAGAGCACTGGATGCTGGTTCTAGGACATCATTTTTTTTCCCTTCTAATCATACAAACAAAATATTTTTATTGTAGACCTTTAGAGAAAAAAAAAAAAAAATACAGAGAAGCATGAAAGTAGAAGTCATCATGATCCTGCTTCCTAGAGACCCACAACGAATATTTCTGTATATATCCTGCTGGCATTTTTTCCTGTAAATGTAATTTTTAAAATTTGGAGTCATACAAATACATATATTGCATTTTTAAATTACTTTTATATCAAGCATGAGTTGGAACCTACTTGATGGCACTCAACAGCATTATATCGAGAACATTTCCCAAAAGGAGGGGAGTGGTTGACTTTGCAGTCCAGGAGCGGAGGTCCCTACAAC